GAGCCTCACTCTGTTACCCAGGCTGGAGTGCAGTAGTGTAATCTCAACTCACTGCAACCTCTGCCTCCCGGACTCAAGCAATCCTCCCACCTCAGCCTGCTGAGTAGGTGGGACCACAGGCATGCACTACTATGTCTGGCTAATTTTTTTCTATTTTTAGTAGAGATGGGGTTTCGTCTTGCTGCCCAGGCTGATCTCGAACTCCTGACCTCAGGTGATCCACCCACCTTGGCCTTCCAAAGTGCTGGAATTACAGGCGTGAGCCACCACGGCCAGCCCCATTTCTGAGTTCTTTAAGTCTCCACTCATCATTAGGTCTCAGTTTAATCGTCACTGCCTTGGAGACACTTCCTTGACCACTTCTTGTTTCCTTATACCTAATTCTACCTAGTAAAAATCAGCCCCTCTTATTATGTAACTTTCATTCCATTTTGTAATTTTGCCTCTTTTGGTATTTGTCTTAATTCTAATTCATTTGTAATTATTTTTTACTATTTGTTTTCACTAACTGTAAACTTCACAAGGTCAGGAGCCACGCTTGTCTTATTGGCCACTACATCCCAGAGCCTCGCATGGTGCCCAGCATGCAGTAGGCACTCAAAATAACTATTTATTGAATAAAAGAACAAATTAGTAAGTGGGTAAATTTTACATACGTGTTGTACCAAGGTCAAAGCAAATTTAATAATCCAGATTGCCTTTAAGAAAACCAGAGGCCAGGCATGGTGGCTCATGCCTGTAATCCCAACACTGCAGGAGGCTGAGTGTGAGATCGCTTAAATTGAGGAGTTTGAGATTAGCATTAGCCTGGGCAATATAGCAAGACCCTGTCTCTACAAAAAATTTAAAAATTAGCTGGGCACGGTGGGTGTGTACCTGTAGTCCTGTCTACTCAGAGGCTGAGGCTGGAGGATTACATGAGCATAGGAGTTAAAGGTTGCAATAAGCTGTGATTACACTGCTGCACTCCTGCTTGGGGAACAGAGTGAGACCCAATCTCCTGTCTCTTAAAAAAAAAGAAAGAAAAAGAAAACTACAGCCTCTCTGATGATAACCGTCCAAGCAAGAGGTGCTGAGCATCCACGCTGACCACACTTCTGGATAATAGTTGTGGGCTTCCCATCATCAGTGTCACTCACAGCAAATGGTGAAGCACTTGGAAAGGAGCAATGGTGCTTTGACTACTGACACACTTGCAGTTAGACAAAAAATGAGACCGATGGACTGTGTCAGAGTCCCTTTCTATAATCGCAGTATACCCAAAGTGCATTAATGACAAGTGATGACCTTTTTGAGCTCACCTGTTTGAGCACTTGTCCTCTTTCTATCAGTGCATCTCTCTGACAAATCACTGGTTCAACTCTCCGAAGTTCACAGTTGGGAGGTCTGTAACCCCATGATAGCTAGCACTCAATTAAAGAGAAAGGAGATTTTTAGACCTCTTATAATGATACTCAACTTTATTTCCTCTTAGGGAGTGCATTATTGGTTCATCCAGTCACAGAACCAAAAGCCACCACAGTTGATGTGTTTCTTCCAGGATCAAATGAGGTAAGAGTAATAACAAACAGCCACATATCTGATACGTGTCGTATCTCTCATCCCTTCTTTTCTTTTAGGAAAGAGATTTCTTCTTCATGTGTTTGTGAACACACCCCAAATGACTATAGCAATTAATGATTATAGTAAGTCATGACCACTGTCCTCAGAGGTCAAAACACTTAGCGGAGGAGAGAAGGGAGAAAGCTGAATTGGTGAGGATTCCGAGGAGGATCAGAGTGATTTTTAATCTTCACACTTTGACTAGTAAAAGTGAGTCCTGATAAACACACCGAGGCTTGGGGTAGGAAGAAATCTTCAGCAAACTCTGGGGGAAAGCAAGTATGAAGTGACTTTGCTCTTTGGTCTAGCTCTATCTGAAACCTGAGTTTTGGGTACCAAAAGCTGGTCTCAATACACTCACCGAAGTGGGCAAAAAGTAACAGTAGTGACTCCTTTCCCAGATTCCTCTGCTCTTTTATTATTGTCACTAATTACTGTCCCAGGTATAAAATATCATCCTGGACCTGCTGCAGCCCAGGGCACTGAACCCACGCAGGGCACAGGGGAGAGGAGGGAATACCGTTGGTCTGCAGGCGGAGAGCCATGGGTAATAAAAGCAGCCTCCAGAGACAGGCCACAGATAAATCCAGAGGGGCCAGGAGAAGAACTGGAGCAAAACTCAGGGCACCACACTAAGGGAGGAGGGTGTGGAAGGGAGAGTAGGAAGGAGACAGACCCTACAGAGCGTCCTTGAGCACTGGAGCATGCCACAGGGTTCAGCAGGCAGGGAAAGAGCCACGCAGGTATGGAGCTGATATGGGACTGCCAGGCCACATAGGCATGGACTGTAAAGGCAAGTGGCAAGGTAGCTGAGCCAGGCCACACTTGCTGCTCAGTGCTGTCAGGCTCTGGGCTGGCAACCCCATGAAACCACATCTAGTGCCGTCCTCTCCCTCAATCTAGCTTTACGTGTGTGGTGGTTCTTTTAGTTTCTTAAGGCTTCTATAACAAGTAACTACAAACCTAGTGGCTTAAAACAACGAAACTTTATTCTCTCACAGTTCTGGAGGCTTGAAATCTGAAATCAAGGTGTCGTCAGGGTCGGTTTCTTCTGGAGGCTCTGAGGGAGAATCTGTTCATGCCTCCCTCCTGGCTTCTGGAGGTTGCCAGCAACCCTGGCCTTCCTTGTTTTGTAGCCACATCACTGCAGTCTCGCCTATCTTCATGTTGCCTTTTCCTCCGTGTGTCTCTGTCTGTCTCTTATAAGGACACTTGTGGTCACATTGAAGGCCCACCTGGATAATCCGGGATAACCTCCTTGTCTTGGGATCTTTAACTTAATCAAACCTGTGACCATAGAAGGTAATATTCATTCCTTCCAGGGATTGTGACGTGAATACATCTTTTTGAGGGGGGACCATTCCACCTACTATGCTTGTCATTATTGACAGAACAATAACCAGGCTTCTCTCCAGAATGTTCATGAACTATGGTCTATCCTCTTGGTTTCTCCAGTTATTTGGAGTTCTGAAGATGAGGGCTCTTTACTAAGGTTCCCCTGCCAAGTAGAAACCTGAGGAAAAGGTTAAATGCAACAACTGCTGAATAAATGCCCTGCCAGATACTTCTGCTGAGAATTTCTCAAGTTGATTCCAGCAAAGTGGTAGGTTCCCATTAAGAGGAACTGGCTCCCTTTCTGACTTAGTCACAGAGTTTTACTCATGATCTATCATCATTCATTCCAAACACGTTGTTGTGAGTGTGTATTATGTTCCTTCAGCACTATTTCCTGGACTGTTGTGTGATTGTTTCTCTGCTTCACAAACCTGCCATGTAAAGGATGTGGTAATCCCAGGAGGTGAACTTGCAGAGTAGACTCCAGGGCTGCCAGGAAGCGTTCTGAGCTAGAAGAAAGAAAAAGATGTTTGTTTTCATTCTGCTTCTGATGATATCTTAAGAATTTATCCCATCAAATTACTTATTTGAGACCTTACTGGTACTTCAGCAACTAAACCCCCTTGATAGATAAGAACCTTATCCTTGAATTATGCTTTGTTTAAAAAAAAAAAAAAAAAAAGATACTATAGTAGTAATTCAAGTTTCCATTTGTTTTCCTCCCAGGAAGGAGGAGGAAGCATTTCCTTCTCTTATGCTTCCTTTTCTCCTGCCTCTTTTGTAATTTATTTGCCTGCAATGTGTTTGTCTTCTTTGCTGTTCTTTTTCTTTTCTCCGTCACCTCTTTCACTACTAGAAGCATTAAGTTTTTATAAGCCAAGTGGACTATAAGATCCATGAGGACAGGAACTATGCCTTTTCTGTTCAGTCATATATACTCAGCACCTGGCACAGTGCTGGGCACATGGTAGATTGTTCAATAGGTAGCTTTTGGATGAATAGAAAACAAATGGCCTTTTAGTTAAATTAATCAGCCATAGTCCTTTGGGATCTTCTTAAAAGCACATGTTCTTCCTAACTTCTACCCAATATATTTTTTAAGTTATACTTATTTTAACTTTCTGTCTATTTGAAATCCAGGTAAGTGGATATTTTGCTGAATAATGAAATGGTGAACAGAATTGCTCATGTACTTTTTTTTCACTGGACTCCATTACTTTCTAGGTCTGGTATGACTATAAGACATTTGCTCATTGGGAAGGAGGGTGTACTGTAAAGATCCCAGTAGCCTTGGACACTGTAAGTTATTTTCAGACTACTATTTTTCCCTATCGTGCTCTATTGGTTGGCTAGGGCTGCCATGACAAAATACCATAGACTGGGTGGTTTTACACAACAGAAACTTATTTTCTCGAAGTTTTGGAGGCTGGAAGTCCCAGATCAAGGTGCTAGCCGATTCTGTTCCTGGTGAGGGACCTTTTCCTGGCCTGTAGACTGCTACCTTCTTGCTGTGCCTACATATGGCAGAGAGAGATAAACAGAGGGTGCTGTCTCAGTTCTCTTCTTACAAGGATACTGTTCCTATCGTTTCAGGACCCCATCCTTATAACCACATTTTTAACTTTAGTTAACTCCGTAAAGGCCCAATGTCCAAATATCTTGGGCTTAGGGATTCAGCATATGAATTTGGGGGCGATACAAACATTCAGTCCATAATAGGTTCCTCTCTAAAAAGAACCAAGGATGTTAGTGTTCTACACAATAGCACATACGCATAGAGACAGAAGGTAGGTCCGGGGATGCCTAGTGCTGGGGCAGAGGAGGGTTGAGGAGTCATGAGGAATGACTGTTAACTGGTTCAGGGTTTCTTTTTGGGGTGATGAAAATGCTTTAAAATTGATTGTGGTGATGGTTGCCTGACTCTTAATATGCTGAAAACTGTTTCATTGTACACTTTAAATTGATGAGTTGTATTGTATGTGAATTCTATCAAAGCTGTAACATGTGAGAAAAAAAGAGTTAAGAATCACATCTACTCATATTTCACCGATTGAGACATCAGAGACAAACATAGCTCTTCCCCGTATGTTTACATTTGTGTGTCTAAGAAGAACAAAAACACTGAAAACAGAGAAAACACGGTAGTCACTATCCGTGCTGTCTGGAATGTCATTCTGCAGGACTAAGGCAAAAAACAGGAGCTTTCAGTTGTAATCCTGGGCCCAGGGGAAGACATCAGTTATGATGTTAAAATCAAAGTGGTCCCTCCAGGCTATCTTGAGTTTCTAAAGTGAGTTTCTAACTTACTTTCTACACTTGAATTGCAACCACTGCCACACTACCACAGCCCTAAGTAGTGTAAAGATTGATAAGTAGATACTGATATTATTTTGTAAACCATCAGCAGAAATATGAACCCCATTATTTAAAAAAATAGTTTCAGATGTCAACTTTCAGATCTAGAAGAGAACTTAACAGTCATCTACTCTAATCCCTCACACAAGTAAAAAACCCTGAGATTCAGAGAACTTAAATTATTTGTCCAGGAACACAGCAGACTCGTGGCAGAACTGAAACAAGCCCCCAGGTGCATTCCCTTGGGCTGGACTCCTATTCTAGAGCCTCTTTCACTCTAACTTATGGCCTTGTTCTTTGAAAAAAAAAGAAGAGAGAGATTGGCCAATGAGGGAGGGGCATGTGTGGGGAGATGGAAATGCTTTACTTCTCGCTGCCAAGGCAAGTTAAGTAGAGGTAGGACATCTGAACTACTGGGTCCTCAGCCTCAACTTCATGTATGTTCTTGTACTCTCCTGCGTGCTCATTCTTGAGTCAGAGCAAAGCAGAAGCCCTCCTGTGACACAGGCAGCTTCCTGACAGGAGGCAGGAGACCTACCCAGGCAGTGCTGCCCGGAGTGCCATTCCAGAAGACTCATAGTTATGGGCCTGTTGTTAGGATCTCTTAAAGTACCCTTGGTGGTCTCTAATGTAACAGCAGCAGTTTCACAGATTTACCTTCAGAATTGAGTCAGTCATCCAGGTGATCCATAGAAACAGGGAGCAAGAGGGGACAGGCTGCAGTGAGTGAGGACAAAAGTCATCTGCCCAAACCAAGAAACCACCATCGGTTATACACACACATACACAGACTTCTGGGCCCACTCACACAGACAGAAAACTTCAGTCGTTAGCAGGGCTCTAGAAATAAGTATGTATATACTACACTGATAGGAAAATTTAAAATACAAAGTAGGAAAGGCCACTTATAGGATGGGCAGAAAAGAATTCATCACTTAAGAGGAAAAAACAGCAAAGACAGACATAGATAACAAACCAATGAAGGGCGGGAAGTTTCCCTAATAATTAAAAAATGGACCATTCTTCAGCATTAGAGCTCTTTTCCTTTCAATGCCAGGACCCCCATATTTGCCATCTCTGTGCCCCAAAATTTATTTTGCCTATGAATCCGCACTTGAAAAGAGTGTGAATCTTATAAAATGAAATATTTTAAAATTCTACCCTGAAATGTTCTTATATGAATACTGCTTCCCTGAGTGTGCTGCTCTGTTACAGATTCCAGTGTTTCAGCGAGGTGGAAGTGTGGTACCAATAAAGACAACTGTAGGAAAATCCACAGGCTGGATGGCTGAATCCTCCTATGGACTCCGGGTTGCTCTAAGCACTAAGGTATTTGGTAAATCTGTTACCCATTTTGTTTCTACTCTCTCTTTACAGTGTTAGCCTTTTGAGTGTGTGACACTACTTAAAAGTGATGAGCTCCGTCTGTGAGATAGGCGCTCCTGACATTTATCTAGAAATCAAGGTTTGAATCATTTCCGAATCATTGTTCACTTATCTGCCTTCCCTGGAATTGTTCTTAAGGGAACTCTTGAACTAGGAATAACAGAAATGTTCCTCTTGGGCACTGTGATTGTTGGTGCTCTTCAACTTGACATTGATTGCTACTGGAATGAATGCTTTTCGAGCCATAGACAGCCTTCCCACATGGATTAGCCCTGAAACCCAGTCTCCCATAAAATGGTACCCATGTCTATGCACCATTTCAGAGATCCCAATCCCAACCAGTGATTTCTCATCAGGCAGCTCCAACAACTAAAATCCCCTTGGGCAAAGCCTGGGAGGACCCAGAAATGATGTGTCCTTTTGAGAAGATTTTTTGAGCCTATTAAGGCCTGTAGCAGATTCCTCTCCTGTCCATTTGTTCAAACATAGTACAGGGCCAAACACACACCAACTCTTACGCTTACTATATTAATACTTACTTGCATTGATATCAGTATTATAAAATGATTCAGTTATAGGGGTTTTTTCCCCATCTTTTTCACTTAGGCATGTCTTTTTGGGCCAAACTATGGGCCCCAGACCCATGCGAGGCCCCAGAATAAATGCAAAAGACTAGTGATGCATAGCATATCAAGTATTGTCAATAATAGTAAACTGTCATGTACTCCAGGTGAAAAAGGAACCAGATACCATTCTCTAAGTGGAGGGCCTTCTAAAGATAGTGGATCTCATCTATTATATATTAATTTTTTTTAGCATCAGTATTATTCAATGAACTTTCTTGACCTTGTTGTCACATTCTGGTGGAGTATTTTCAGGGAATCCACTTATACCATTGAACATACTTCATAGTTTAAATTCTTTCAACAAAGCCTAACTCTTTGTGTTCCTCTTATGTGACTTTCCTATTGTTTTACTATCTACTCGGGAGTGATTGGTTATTGAATATGTTAGGTATTTGTACGACTATTTTATATAGCTTGAATTTTTCACAAACTTTTAATTCTATTGTTACCCTTTAGGAGCTTTTCCTGTAAACCTATCATATAAGTACATTCTGTCTCTGTGATTCATTCTCCAGGGTTCTTCAGTGGGTGAGTTGTATCTTGATGATGGCCATTCATTCCAATACCTCCACCAGAAGCAATTTTTGCACAGGAAGTTTTCATTCTGTTCCAGCGTTTTGATCAATAGGTAATGGCAGCTAAAGAAACTGTTTGTTTTCTTAAGTAAATCACACTGTCCGTTCGGCATCCTCAAGTGCACAGGTATGTTTTAAGGTACATTTTTTTTTTTTTATTGAGATGGAGTCTTGCTCTGTCGCCCAGGCTGGAGTGCAGTGGCGCAATCTCGGCTCACGGCAAGCTCCGCCTTGTGGGTTTACGCCATTCTCCTGCCTCAGCCTTGTAAGTAGCTGGGATTACAGGCGCCCGCCACCACGCCTGGCTAATTTTTTTATATTTTTTTTAGTGGAGACAGGGTTTCACTGTGTTAGCCAGGATGAACTCAATCTCCTGACCTCGTGATCCACCCGCCTCGGCCTCCCAAAGTGCTGGGATTACAGGCGTGAGCCACCGCGCCCAGCCATTTTAAGGTACTATTTAAGAAATGAATGGTGAAGGCCATTTCTGGAGTATTTTTCTTTTTCTTTTCTTTTCTTTTTTTTTTTTTTGAGACTGAGTCTCACTCACTCTGTTGCTCAGGCTAGAGTGCAGTGGTGTGATCTTGGCTCACTGCAGCCTCCACCTCCCAGGTTCAAGCGATTCTCCTGCCTCAACCTCCCAAGTAGCTGGAAGTACAGTCACGCACCAGCACACCTGGCTAATTTTTGTATTTTTAGTAGAGTCAGGGTTTCACTATGTTAGCTAGACTGTTCTCGAACTCCTAACCTCAGGTGATCCACCCACCTCAGCCTCCCAAAGTGCTGGGATTACGGATGTGAGCCACCGTGCCCAGCCCATTTCTGGAATATTTTTCAACCACTCTACCATGAATGATCCTCCCTTATTGTCTCTACCTTCCTTTCCCCGACTTTCTGTTTTTTTTTTTTGGTTGTTTTTTTTTTTCAGATGGAGTTTTGCTCTTGTTGCCCAGGCTGGAGAGCAGTGGCACAACCTCGACTCACTGCAACCTCCGCCTCCCAGGTTCAAGCGATTCTCCTGCCTCAGCCTCCTGAGTAGCTGAGATTATAGGCATGTGCCACCACGCCCGGCTAATTTTGTATTTTTAGTAGAGACAGGGTTTTTCCATTTGGTCAGGCTGGTCTCGAACTCCCGACCTCAGGTGATCTGCCCGCTTCAGCCTCCCAAAGTGCTGAGATTACAGGTATGAGCCACTGCGCCCAGCCCCCTGACTTTCTAAAAAATAAAAAAGGACTTAATTTAAGCTCCCACTAATTCCATTCATTCATCCATTCACCAATTCACTAAGTATATGATTTATTACAATTTGATTATCCAAGTCACATGTGTAACTTTTGTGTTCTTCAGTGATTTTCCTTCAAATAACTTGTTAAAGAAAGCCTGATTTGGCCACCAGTTAACTCTTCCTTGATACACACAGTCGTCTTTTTTTTTTTTTTTTTGGAGACAGAGTTTCACTCTTGTTGCCCAGGCTGGAGTGCAGTGGCTCAATCTCGGCTCACTGCAACCTCTGCCTCCTGGGTTCAAGCAATTCTCTTGCCTCAGCCTCCCGAGTAGCTGGGATTACAGATGCCCACCGCCACGCCTGGCTAATTTTTTGTATTTTTTAGTAGAGATGGGATTTTGTCACGTTGAGCAGGCTGGTCTTGATCTCCTGACCTCAGGTGATCCACCCACCTTGGCCTCCCAAAGTGCTGGGATTACAGGTGTGAGCCACCATGCCCGGCCGAGTCGTCTTTTTTTTTTTTTCTTTTTTTTTTTTTTGAGACAGAGTCTTACTTTATCACCCAGGCTGGAGTACAGTGGTGTGATCTCAGTTCACTGCAACCTCCACCTCCCAGGTTCAGGGGTTTCTCATGTCTCAGCCTCCCAAGTAGCTGGGACTACAGGTACGTACCACCACTCCTGGCTAATTTTTGTATTTTTAGTGGAGACAAGATTTTGCAATGTTGCCCAGGCTGGTCTTGAACTCCTGACCTCAAGTGATCTGCCCACCTCTGCCTCCCAATGTGCTGGGATTACAGGCATGAGCCACTGTGCCTGGCTCTTTGATTATCTTCTTTTATTATCTCTTCATCCTGATAAATATGACTCTTATATGGATTATGCCTCCAAAGGACAGATGAGAGAGGAACTCACAAGGCTGGAGATGTTGAGCTGGTGGCCACTTCAAACCCCCATCACTCTCCTTTTAATGCTGTTTGTATCTATTCCAGTTCTGCCGACCAGAGAGGTCATTATCCCAGCAAGTGTGTGGTGGAGCAGATCTTGGTCTTAGGCCTCAGGAAGGAGCCATCTTTTGTGACTACCCACTCATCTGGTGAGAAAGCAGTCCATTCTTACCTCACCATTTCTTTTTATAAGCAAGTATCTGCAGTGAGGAGATGGTTAGTCCCCACACTGACATAATATGCTCAGCCTGAGTGGACTATGTGCTTTCAGGTAGAGGTGAAATCTACTAGTTTCTAGAATAAATGAGGCCATCTTGCTTCTCTTCATGAATTGATCTTTCTCCTCACTTTTAGTGTTTTTCTAAGGAAACTTATTTGGGGCTTGAGATAATATCATGGCTTCTCTGAATATTTGTTTAAACTGTAGCTGCCTGAAGACTTGGAGAATCCTATCCATGTGTTTGGAGTTTATGAAAGGGCAGGATGGGGCTTATATCCTTTCTTGCTTCCCAAAGTTCTTGGACAAGTTTATTTGTTCCTTATGGTTTCTTTTCAACCAGTCTTGCGGTCAAAACAATGAAGTTTTCCATGTTTCTAAAACTTCATGGAAGCTCATGGGTAAAAGTGCTATTAATTTGGAGTGGGGTATAAGGTTTTATGATAGAGTGAGAAAACATTTCAGATTTGAAGAAAAGATTTTTCCCTTCTAGAGATTCATCAAAATTTCCCTCTTTTATTGTCTTGCTATTTAGATGGTAAAGATCAGCCTGTGGCTTTTACGTATTGTGCCAAAACGTCCAGCCTGAGCCTGGAGAAACTCTCGCTCAACATTGCCACTGACTGGGAGGTCCGCATCATATGACAAAGAACTGACCCTGGTGATGTGAGCAGGGACCTGCCAGTCCCTTTCAACCTTCCCCTCGCCTTTTTTGAGATTTGTGCAGCAATCTACTTGCCTTTCCTGAGTCAAAATAATCTTTCATTCGTCACCATTATACTAGTGAACAATAGATTTCATGTTTTAAATTTTCAGATTTTACATGTTAAGATGTACTAGCAATATTCCTTGTGTCAAACATCCCCTTTTCTCCCGGATACATAGCCCTGAGACATTTATAGCGTTCAAGAGTCTTCTGTTGCTTCCATTGCTTGAGCAAGGCTGCATGGTTCTGTTTTAATGTGGGCCAAGCCTACCTGGGCAGCCCCTTTGCCAGGGCTTGCCTCGGGCCATGCAGCATTGGCGTTGTGGCTGCAGCAACTGAGTTGCTCAAGGCCAGTCTCCAAGTGGACAGCAGCCTCTGATAGTCCCCACAGTTATCTTCCACCCACATGGACTGGGCAAAGCAGCCCTCTTCTGTGTGCACTGCATACGCTGCAGCAGTGGGAGTTATTCTCCCCTAGAGATCCACTTGGCAGCACGAAGGATTCTTTTCTCTTTCGTGCTTCTCAGGCTCAATAGTTTCTAATTAATCTTAAAATCCATGTCTTTTAAATTGTTTTTTAATTAAGTGCTGTCTGCTAACCAAAGAATATTTGTAACGTGAGTAAGCTATGATTAATAACAACGAAATGAATACTCATGTACCCACCACTGGATTTCCGAAGTAGAACTCATGACTGGAACTAGGATGAGGCAAGGGAGGCCCTGGCCTTGGGCACAAAATGTAAGGGATGCCAAAAAATACAGTAATCAAAATAAGTAATATTTCAATCCACTATTTTTAAAAATCAGAATTAATGCAAAAAAAAAAAACCATGATGAACAAAATATCAAAATTTAAAATAAAGACAGGATTAGTATTACTGGGTTTTCCTTTTGTCCCAGGCTCTAATGTGGCTTGGCATGGAGCAGAACATTACAATATACCAGTCACATCATAATGCCCAAGGCTCTGCAGACCCCAGTGGCTCCCTGCTGCCTGCCTCAGCATCTGTTTTGGCAGCCTCAACTCCCCAGCACTCCTCAGCACACACCTCTTCTTATCAGGCTTCCTCCCCTTAGCAACTTGCCAGTGGCCACCTCTGTGCCTTCTCATCCCTGGGCACCAATATCCTCCTGCCCTTACCATCCTTCCAGGCCCAACTCAAATCCCACTTTCCCATTAAGCCTAACTACGCGAACACCCCTACCCCCATACCCATTAGCAGTGATTTTGCCCTTCCCTATAATGCTATCCCACTTATAACTGTGCTCTACTTACCATTCTCAGGGATCATACCTTAGTTTTCAGTGTGTCTCTCTTCTCACTAGATTGTATGTTCCTCAAGAGCATGTTCTATTTCTCTTCTATCTGACACAGCACTATTATACCTGACTTTCAGTAACTGTTAGCTGTGATTGGTTAGCTGGTGGATTTAATTGATTAAAAAATTACATTTGAATGTATTTCCATCTCATTTACTTTTCTGATACAAGATTCTTCCCAAAGGCAGTCAGCATTGTACATTTGTATAAGTTGAGATTTGAGCTCTGCACCATATGTAAGCTCACAGAGACCTGCACAGATTCTTTGCTCCTATTTCTGTAAGTTTTGCAGTTGAGAAGAAAGGAGCAACCTTATATTAGCTGAAGCCACGGTTCCTATCTTCAAATTTCCCTTGCCAACCTAAACTAAAACTTAGCCAGAGGACTGGGTGCTCCTCCCTAATATAAATGATAGTTTTTAATATCATTTAAAGTTGAATCAGAACTCTCTTTAGGTCAACATTTATTGCACATCTGTTCTTCCATTTAAAATATTGTTGGAGGAATGGAACAGTAACTAGTAGATAAGTTAATGAGGAGCTGCTCTGTTTTGACCCAAATCTATATTGAAACATTTGGCTAGAGACAAGTGGAGAGAAAGATAACCTGGGTGTTTTTAATGGTTTTCTGCGCTTATTGCTTCTCACACTTTACCTGCCTCCCATTTCTGAATTTGTGTACCAGAGAGCAATATGGGGCTGAGTTGGCCTACAGGTAATAAGTTACTTTTTTGTGGCTAATTCTTAATATAGTTTCATAGGAAACTGGATTTTATATAAGAAGTTTTATTCATTTCAACAGGGTTCCTAAAAAAGCTCTAAAATGAATTCATAGTGTGTCTTTCCTTCAAGATATAAATGTCAAGGAATGAGTTGACAAATCAGTTTAAAAACAGAAACTACCCAACAGAAAAATGTAAGTATAATCTTTCAGGATTATATAAAATCAATATTAAAAATATTTTATAATATTTTAATATAAATATATAAACATTTTATATATGGAGCCTGGTGACAGAGACTCCATCTAAAAAAAAAAAGAGATAATCTCTAAAATGTTGTATGTTTTCTGATACTTAACTGTCAAAATACAGCAGATATCTCAAGTTTCCTCAGATGTAAAATGGAATTAGTGAAACTTGCAGAGTGTTTCTACAAATTTGAAATATTTTATGTGTACAGAAAGGGAAAAATAGTAACATTACCAGGGAGAAACTCGGTAAACATTACTTTAGGCCAGTGATCAAAGTTGACATCACCTGTAATAAAACCTATCAATATCGTGTACCCCCACATATGGTTTGAGGAGGTGGCCATGTCACATCTGTGACAGTCTTCCCCCAAATCCATAACCTTAGTCTAATCATGTGAAAAATATCAGAGAAACCCAAATTTAGGGTCATTCTACAAAAACCTGACAAATACTCTTCAAAAGTGTCAAGGTCATGAGAGACAAAGACTGTGGAATGATCAGAGACTGGAGGACACTAAAGAGTTCTATCTTTGCAACTCTTTTGTAAGTCTAAAATTATCTTAAAATAAAAAGTTTTTTAAAGGTCTCTGTGAAGTGGCTAGCTCCCAGTAGGCACTTAATGAATGAGAGGTATTATAATGATAAGCAAAAACATTGCTTCCAATAGTGTCAGAAATCAAAGAAATGCTTCTTGGTGGAAAAGACAGAGCCATTAGTTGGCAATGCTGTGCAACAGAAACCATTCCAGCGACAGATATTACATGACCGTGAGTGAAATATGTTATAAAAACTGGTTCTTTATCCTTAAAGGGGCTTCTGGGAATTGAAATGTGCAGCTGTTTATGTGTTCATTATCTGCCCTTTGTTCATGGGCTCGAGTTGGATTTCTCCCTAATAGCATTGGTTTCCACAGCTGTGCCATTGAATAAACCTTGAGTTTGGACCTATTCATCTGAGAGAATGTTTTATCCACAACAACTGACAGAGCAAAATGATTGGCACCTTGCCCTTTCTGTGTTTGACATGCCCACCCGGCTCTGACAAGAGGCTTGCTGCTGTCACACGCTTCTGTTAGTTCCTCACAGATGGTGCTGGCTGAGACAGCTGAGGAAAGAAAGCCCAGTGGGTATATGGCCCAGGATAGCTCCTTCGCCTGGAGCAGATCAGCAGAGAAACTTTGATTGCACTGGCAAAGCCAGAAGTGTAAGACATTTCTCTTTGCATAGGAAAACTTCATTCACCAGATACATAACACGTATGTATTAAGGGCCTTCAATATATCTAAACCTGAGAGAGAAATGGGAACCCACTTCCCAGCTCCACGGTCTTACGGGCAAACGGGAAGTTAAATAAGCAAAAACAATAAAGTGTGGGTCAGTGCTGTGAATTTCAGGGTGGGATAGCATGCTAGCCTGGGACCCAAACGTACAACAGTGGGGTAAGGAAACCCCACCTTTGCTGTCTGTGCCATTGGTGACTTTGAGGGTGGAAGTCAGTCTTTTTAGTGTAGGCAGATAGGCCAGCCGCTGACTGGAGATGCTGCGTACCACATGAGCCTGGGCAGACTATACCTATTCCTGTGCTGTCCACATAGCAGATATTCAGTTAATGCCCACTGAGTGAATGCTGATTTGCATCAGTGAGTGAATGTTATCATTCAACCTGATCTAACTCCAAAGTAATATTAAATTCAGGTCTTCTCTAACAACACCATTTATTGAGTGCTTAACAAAATCCTGGCACTGTGTTAAATGTATTACATAAATTATTTAATTGTTATAAAAACCTAATAACAGAATGACTATAATTGTACCTATTTTATAGGTGAGAAATCTGAGACAGAAAGGAAGAAATAACTCACCTAAAGTTACACAGGTGCAGCCAGTAAAGGGCCAACCTAGACTTTGAACCGAGGTGGTCAGCCACCAGAGACCGCTGTCCTCTATTCTGCCTCTCCAAGACTAGTAAAGAGCCCTGGGCGTTTTCCTGGAGTAACAGAAGGCTAGGCTGATGGTTCCTGCAAGCCCAGACATAAGAGTTCTTCAATGCCGCAATCCCAGGGATCAGGAGGCTGATAGTACTCCCTATTTTACCTGTCACTTCCCACCTTCTTCCATAGCCTCTAATCTTCGATTATTGAGACTGGTCGCATAGGAACAGGCATGACTACAGCCTAGGACATGCCTCCACTCTGCCATACTTGAAATGTGGTCATCTCCTTACAGCCCAGGGAGCAGCTGTTGTGGGTAGAAGACAAGGTGGAGGCCAGGCAGGCACTTCCCTTCCGCAGAGCCACTTATGCTCTTATCTAAGAGCCCTGAAACCAGGTGTGAATCCCAGGGCTTGACAGGCAGTCTGGTTCAGTATCCAATTCCAGCTTCTGTCTCAGATGCCTAATGTGGTATGGCTGAATGAGTCAACATGTAACCTATACAGTAAGTCCTCACTTAACATCGTTGATAGGTTCTTGTAAACTGTGACTTTAACCAAAACAAGCTTACTAGAACCTATTGATGACATTGGGGATTTACTGTGCTCAGGTGCACTTTTTTTTTTTAAGATGGAGTCTCATTCTGTCACCCAGGCTGGAGTACAGTGGCGCAATCTGGGTTCACTCCAACCTCTGCCTCCTGGGTTCAAGCGATTCTTCTGTCTCAGCCTCCCAAGTAGCTGGGATTACAGGCACCCACCACCATGCCTGTCTTATTTATGTGTTTTCACTGGTTTCACTATTGTTGGCCAGGCTGATCTCGAACTCCTGACCTCATGTGATCCACCCGCCTCGGCATCCCAAAGTGCTGAGATTACAGATGTGAGCCCCCGTGCCCGGCAGGTACACTTTTTATAGCAGATTCAGTCCCAGTGTTTATTTTGGGGATGGGAAGAGACAAGAGGTGGCAAGGTCAAGTCTGCAGGTACAGGCAGGGATTTTCTCAACCAAGGACTCTGCTGAGTAGCATTTTCCATGCAGACATTTCCAATAAACGCTGACCCAAGAACATTCTAGAAAAGATGCCAAATCTAACATTGAATAAGGTTCTGATATCCTAAAATTTTAGGACTAAAAATCATGTTCTCTAAAATTCACAGAATATTTTCCTAGAATTCAGTACCTCTCGTTCACCCTAACTAGCTTTTTTGCAATACTGTTTTCCATTCATTTGGTGGCCAGTAGTTGGGTGGTCTGTATAACTGCCTACTCAATAACATGTCAGCAGTTCTCAGCTTCTTTCCAGTGTTCACCTTACTCAGATACTCCCTTTTCATTTTCTGACAACACCAGCACTTCATGGCAACAGAGATGTCCCTAGCCAGGTTCTCCTCTCTCTTGCTCTCATACTCACAGTGTTTCTTCACATCTATTTTTAGTTTTTCTGGCTCAAGCATCTTCAGGCCACTGAAACACAACCCTCACTCTCTTTCTCTCTCCCTCTGGCATGCATGCTGCTGGTAGGAGACCCCAGGTCAACATTGCTTCAGAAATCCTTTAGCACTCATTTCTCAGGAGAACTTATGGCTTCAGAATCACAGCTCGGTTTTTAAGATGGACATAACCTGTACGACCTTCTGATGGGCTTTCAACTTCGAACTGGATGTGGACACTTTTCTCTCAGATGACAGAATTACTCTAACTTCCCCTTTGCAGTTGCTTCCTTTCCTTGAAGGTAGCTGTATCTTATTTTCTTTAAAAAGCTTTTTCTTCCAAAGCCACTTGCCATGCCGACCGTCATTAGCGCATCTGTGGCTCCAAGGACAGCGGCTGAGCCAAGGTCCCCGGGGCCAGTTCCTCACCCGGCTCAGAGCAAGGCCACCGAGGCTGGGGGTGGAAACGCAAGTGGCATCTATTCAGCCATCATCAGCCGCAATTTTCCTATTATCGGAGTGAAAGAGAAGACATTCGAGCAGCTTCACAAGAAATGTCTAGAAAAGAAAGTTCTTTATGTGGACCCTGAGTTCCCACCGGATGAGACCTCTCTCTTTTATAGCCAGAAGTTCCCCATCCAGTTCATCTGGAAGAGACCTCCGGTGAGTAACTTCCTGCTTACTTGCTGGGTTTTCCCCCCACGGAGGAGTCCTCCCACTCAGCACCTCCGGCAGCTCAGCTGTGCACATGGGCAATGGGGGAAGGATCCTGGCAGCAATTCTGCTGGGCTCTGTCCTTAAGTGTGAAGCAGGGAGGAGAGGAACAGGTCTCAGATATTTCTCCAAATCTCAGCAAAATCCAGAGGGAGAGCGGGGGAGGTGGGGCTGATTCTCATGCTCTGACTCTTTCTCTCTGAAAAAAAAAAAATCTTGCTTTTTATAAAAGTGGTTGGAACTCAGTTTAATTCATCCTGTAAAAATATTCCTTTCTCAGAACAAATTCCAGACAGCCCAGATCTACCCTTTCATTTTAAATACCTTTCATCTTTGTAAGATCACTTTAGTTTCTCTGGCTAAAATCATGATGTTATTCTTCTTTAATTTACCAGTGGCCATATCTTTCTGAAACATAGCAACCCTAGAAAGAAGAGAGTCATAGGCAAGGAATATTTTTTCATGCATAAAATGTTGGGGTTAGAGAGAGAGACCTAGCAATCATTTTTGTCCACCTACCTCACCTCATAAGCGAGGAGTCAAGGCACACCAGAGCGAAATATATCCAGTGGGCACATGACAGAGCCTGGATTAAAACTTTCTCTTTTAGGAAACTCTCCCAGCCTCTGGGTTTCATTTATAGTGATCACCAGAAGGGAAATCACATTCCCCTGGCTCGCCTCTCTGATCATCCCTCCAGTGTGACTTTTGTTCTTAATTCAAGAAATATTTATTGAGCATCTACTAGTGCCAGCACTGGACAAGCAACTGGGGGGACAGCAGTGAGTAAGAAAAACCAAAATCCAAGCTGTCTTGGAACCTAGGGTCCTGAAGGGAAGATGGGCGTTGAACAAGAGTGACGTTGTCAGGAGACGATGTTCTGGGTGCCACGGGATCATGTGGCAAGGAGAGCTAACCTGGTCCAGGGAGAGAAACCCTTCCTGAGGAAACGATGGCAACCTGAGACCTGATACTATTCATTAGTCATGTTTTTCTTTAACCTAAGATGGGCCAGGCGTGGTGGCTCACGCCTGTAATCCCAGCATTTTGGGAGGCCCAGGCTGGAGGATTGCTTAAGCCCAAGAGTTTGAGACCAGCCTGGGCAACAGGGCAAAAATCTATCTCTTTTGTACTAAAAATTCAGAAAATTATCCAGGCACGGTGGCACATGCCTGTGGTCCTACCTGCTTGGAGGCTGAGGTGGGAAGATCACTTGAACTCACGAAGTCCGAGGCAGCAGTGAGCTGAGATCACGCCACTGCACTCCAGGCTGGGTGACAGGACTGAGACCCAGTCTCAAACAACAACAACAACAACAAACGTGAGGTGGAATACTCCACAACCCCGTGTATTGCATAGGTGCTCTTCTCGGTTCTATGGTAAGGCCCATAACTGTCCTGCAGGCCTTCAGTTTAGAAGATAACACTGCTCTGCTATCAGAGTAGTTGGACACGTCATTACCCCCTGCTGAAATATCTTCAGTGACATCCCTGTCTCGGCTGCCTGCAGGACAAATCCCCCTCTGCCTTCAGGACAAATCCAAACTCCTTAGCCAAGCCATAGGCCCTTCTCAGCTGGTCCCTGCCTACCTATCCAGGCCCATCTCCATCCTCTTTTCCCAGATCCTGACACACCAGCAGTGCTTGGACATTTAGCTGCTCTATGGTTCCAAGTCTTCTCACACCGGAGGCCTTTGCTCATGCTGTCTGTCTGCCTGGCATGCCCTTTTTGTTCCTGTCTGAAACTCTGCTCAGGTGTCACTTCCTTCAATCTTTCTCATGACTGTTTTCCTCTCACTGAGAGCAGAAACCCTTCCCCTTCCTGTTCATCTTTGAGGCCCGCTCACCAAGTTCAGGCCAGTCCCATAGTGGGTACTCAGCTGATGCTGGTGAATGAAAACCCATGCCCGAGGGCCTTGACCGGTGAGACAGGATAGTCCTGCATTCCCAGGCAGGGAGTTCTTAAAAACCCTTTCTTGGGCCAGACATGGTGGCTTATGCCTGTAATCCCAGCGCTTTGGGAGGCAGAGGTGGGAGCATCACTTGAACTCAGGAGTTGGAGACCAGCCTGGGCAACATAGTGAGACCCTATCTCTATAAAAAAAAGTTTAAAAAAATAAAAGCCCTTTCTCAGAATGGGTAAAATTAAAACCTACAAATACTATTTTCAGTGAAATCATTGGTGAACTTGAGTCACAAACTAGACTTACAAATTAATAAAAATGCTTTAAGGGCCTGTTATGCTCTAGGTACTAGATTGGGCAGTGTCCATATTTGAAATGAGGGGTGCAGAAGACCTGTCTGTTCTAAATTGTGCCCCCAGCACCACCATCACCAACAACAAAGATCCTGGATCTTCGACTGTTTGAGTCACTAAAGGACCAGATAGCAAAGGCCACTCTTCAATAAAATGCCCACATGTTCCCCTGGGGTTAAGATCACAGGAACACTGCCCATTGGGTTCACTAATATAAATAAGAAATATAAAATTAGAGATGGTCAGAGTTGAAATGATTCTTGGAGAGGTGGTCCAGTGTCCTTGCTTTATAGGTGAAGTGATTAAGGCCCAGAAAGGGCAAATGACTTATCTACAGCCACACAAGTTGACTTGAAACTGAAAAACTGAAATGACTCCAGAACTTTCTGACTGTGAAGCACTTCTTGGAGACATCAGTTTTCCGTTAACTTCTTCAGATGTAGTGACCTTTGCCAGCCCTGAGCAGTCTGAAAAGACTGTGTCCTATCAGGAAAAGCACCACGCAGGTGAGTAAAGGCCTTCCTGCTTTTACTATCTAAGGCACAGAACCTTTGGAAACCAATCTGAATTTTTTTCAACCATCAAGTATTATTTATTATAATTACAGTGATAATTATGATGATAATGATAAAGGGAGAATTATTCCTGGCCAACTATAATTCTAGTTAAAATAGCATGCTACACTTTCAGCCTTTCCCTCTTAAAAGAAAACAGGTTCTGGCCAGCTGTTCCCAGCACAGCTGTAATCTCTTCTCTCACTTACCAGTGCTACTGTCACACGCATCTGTGTGAAGAGACCACCAAACAGACTTTGTGTGAGCAACAAGGCTGTTTATTTCACCTGGGTGCAGGTGGGCTGAGTCCAAAAAAGGAGTCAGCAAAGGGTGGTGAGATTATCATTAGTTCTTATAGGTTTGGGATAGATGTACAAAGTACATTCTCAAGGGCGGGGAGAATATTACAAAGTACCTTCTTAAGGGTGGGGGAGAATATTACAAAGTACCTTCTTAAGGGCAGGGGAGAATATTACAAAGTACCTTCTTAAGGGTCAGGGGAGAATATATCCTATCAGTTAGGGTGGGGCAGGAACAAATCACAATGGTGGAATGTCATCAGTTAAGGCTATTTGCACTTCTTTTGTGGATCTTCAGTTGCTTCAGGCCATCTGGATGTATATGTGCAGGTCACAGGGGATATGATGGCTTATCTTGGGCTCAGAGGCCTGACAACTACCTCACAGCCTTTCTTCCTCTACTCGGGAGCATCATGCATTGAGTTTCCAGGGCAAACAATCTGATTCCTCTAGCCTTTCCTTATATGATCTATTTCTAGGATCAGAAAGCATACAAATTATTCAATACTTCCTAACTGTTAAGACAAGTTTTCTTGATGATAGATCCCAGGGCAGAATATAATGGGCTCTAGAACAGGGCTTCTGGGATGCTGGTGCCCAGTACACTAGGGATAGGTTGGGCATGGGAGGGCAGGTCATGTTTCATTCTATGGGGTGGAAGGTTCAATTGCACCACACTCCTGGCCTCTCTTCTTCTCATGGTGGGTTTGTAAAGAGAACTTGAGCTGTAAAGCCCAGTTCTTGGCTTCCGTCTTTCTCTGGGAAGCAAGCTGCCTGCAAGAAGCATGACTTCTGCTTTCTGCCCTCCTTGCAGCAAGTTTTCTGGAGGCAAGACCCCATGGGGAGTCATGCAGGAGTCCCTGGGCCACCTGGTAATATATAGTTAATAGTAAAGATAATCGCTAGTCTTGAGTGAGAACTCACCACATGCCAGTAACTAAGTGCTTTCCATATGTTAATTAATTTCATCTTCACAACAATCCTGTAAGGAAGTACCATTATTGTCCCACTTTACAAAGGAGGGAACTGAGTCTCAGAGGGATTCTCCAGATCTCCCAGTTAGTGAAGGTTGGAGCTGGGATTTAAACCCACACAATCTGGCTCTAGAGCCCCCAATCTATCTAATTCTGAGATTTAGCTGTCAATACCCATTTTTATTAAACAATAAATGTAGGATTTTGGATTCCCACCTGCCCTGCACTTTTGTAGCATTCCTTTATTGGCTCAAAACTCAGGCATGGAAATAAGGTGTCATTTATTGGGCCTCCTCAAGACACAACAGGCATTGAGTGACACCCCAGGGGTAGCCCCTAAAAGCAGCAGCCTCTGTAAGTTGGAGATGGAATGGCACAGTGGCTAAGAGCCCAGGCTCTGAGGTCAGATAACCTATGTTCAAGTCTTGGCCTGCTACCTAACACTTAGGTAATCTTGGTCACATACCCTCATTTTGCCACAGGTTCTCCATGTGAAAAATGGAGAGCAACCATAATAGAAGAACCCATCTCATAATTGAGGATTAAATGAGGTAATGCAGGCTAAAGGCTTACAACCAGCACGTGGGCGAGTGCTCAGTAAACATAGACTACTCTTATTACTGCCTACAAGCAGCTGTGCAGTCTCTTAAAAGTGGCAACATCATAAACATTTTTCCAGCTTAATTGGTGCCTGTGACCAGTAAAGATATTAACCACAGCAATGTATTTGAGTACTTCATGCCTGGTCTAAATGCATCCATCCATCTCAGCATGAGGATGTGTGTGTGAATGCTCCCCTCATGGGCAGGGGACTCCTTGTCCTTTAGGGCAATTCCAGTTGTCTACATCAAATATCAAATGTACGT